AATAAAAAACAAGTAGGAAAGTATAGTCGGGCATTGCCGACCATATAATACCCTACACCATGAGTATATTTTAAAAATTTTTATTTTTCACAAAGAAACTTTTATGTTGAATTTTACGTTAATTCCAAAGTATTTAAGTAATTTATTGATAAAAAACAAATTTTCTAAATGAGGCTTTATATAGGAGTATAGGTCAAACATGGGCCGATCCTCATTAAATGTGGGAAAAGGATATATTTTTAAATAATAGTTAATTATGTTGAGTTTCATTGCGATACAAATGGTTACAAGTCAATTTTAGACGTTTAAGATATTTTTTGAAGGGGGTTTGTATGGGGGCTAGGGTCAAATAAGGGCCGATCATTACGAAAATCTGCAGTGTCATTTATACTTATATAAAAACTTATTTGTGCCAATTTTTATAGAGATAATAGTATATTTGACGTAATTATGGCATAAAAAGCCCAAATCGGGAGGTACGGTTGTATGGGGGCTAGGTGAAATAATGGACCGATTTCAATAATTTTCAATAGGCTTCGTCCTTGTGCCAAAAAACATGCTTGGTCCAAATTTCATCAAATTATCTTGAAAATTGCGGCCTGTAACTTGCGCACAAGGTTTACATGGACGGACATGTCTTAAGGACCAATATTTTTGTGTGTTACAAACATCAGCACAAACGTATAATACCCTCCCCACTATAGTGGTGTAGGGTATAATTAGTACAGTTTCATATCTATCTATATAAATATATAAAATTCTAACGTTACTGACTCACTGACTGACTGATTCATCAAAGTGCAGCCTAAACGGTTGAAGTTAAAACGCTGAAATTTGGACAGGAGATGGGTCTCATACCAAAAAGACGAGATTTTTGAAAATTCGAATGCTTAGGGGTAAAAAGGGTAAATTCGGTAACCTCATATCTCCTAAACTAGAAAAGATACAAAAACAGCTTAAAGCTTATTGTTGTTTATTTAAAAAATAAGCGGATAGGTTTTTGGTACTTTTTTCAAATTCGGCCCCTTTAGGGAATAAACTGGTAAAAACTGTATTTTGGTACTTTTTTTTGCATCCCATGTATCTTTTAAACCAATAAACATGCAAAAAATATTTTTGACTTCTTCATAACTTAACGAAAAAATAAAAACACGAATTTAATACTTTTCGGATATTCGGACGTTTAAGGGGTGAAAATTGTACCTATTTTTGGTACTTTTTGCATAAAACATTGTTTCCTATTGATTTGTATTAACATGTAAATGAATACTTAATGATGGGCTCCCACTACGATATTCCAACTTTTTGTAATAAAATGTTTATTACTTCAAAAGGGAGAAAATGTACCAAAAGGGGAAAAAAACGAGAAATTTGATTTCATTCAAACTCAGTGATTAAATTTTAATAAAATTGGAGAAATTAATAGATTTAGTAACACTAAATATACCAATGGAGTGTTTCTTGGAACTCTGGTACAAAGGACCTTTTTTTCGTTTTTTAGCCTTTGTTTTTTTTTTTATAAAATGATCCTAGAAACATTATATTAAGCATGTGGAGTCTGGAGTTAATGAAAATCTATAAAAGGGAAGTTTTTGGTACTAATTTTTGTTCTTTAAAAGGTAATTTTTGAATTTTCTATAATATTGAACCTTTGCATTGGTACCTTTTCGTTCTCCCAAAATGTACATTTTGAATTTTCTATAATGTTGAACTTAGAAACGTGAAATTAAGCATGTAGAGCCCAGAAAAAAATCAAAATCTATAATATGGGGCTTTTTCGTTCTTCAAAAGGTACTTTTTGAATTATCTATAAAAGGGACTTTTTGGTATTTTTTTCGTTCTTTAACAACTTTTGGAGTCTTCTATAATATTGAACTTGGAAACATGAAATTAAGTGTGTAGGGCTTGGATTAGGTAAAAAAAAGGGATTTTTTGGTACTTTCTCGTTCTTCAAAAGGTACTTTTTGAATTTTCTATAATATTGAACCTGGAGAAATAAAATTAAGTATGTGGTGTCCGGAGTAAGTGATAACCTTTAAAAGGGGATTTTTAGGTACTTTATTGTTCTTCAAAAGGTACTTTTTGAATTTTCTGTAGTATTGAACCTATAAACATGAAATTAAGCATGTTAAGCATGCATGCCCGGATAAGGTGAGAGCACATAAAAGGAGACTTTTTCGCTACTTTTTCGTTTTACAAAAGGTACCTTTTGACTTTTCTATAATATTGAGCTTAGAAACATGAAATTAAGTATGTAGAGCCTGGATTAGGTGAGAACCTATAAAAGTGATTTTTTGGTACTTTTTCGTTCTTCAATAGGTACTTTTTGAATTTTTCTATAATATTGAACCTAGAGACATAAAATTAGGCATTTGGATCCAGGAGTAAATAAGAACCTATAAAAGTGAACCCTTTGGTACTTTTTCGTTCATCAACTTGTATCTTTTGATTTTTCAATTATATTTAACATAGAAACTCAAAACTAAGCATTTAGGGACTTATGTGAATCAAAATCTAAAATGAAGTATTTTCTGGTACTATTTCGTTCTTTAAGTGGTACTTTTTGAATTTTCGATAATATTGAAGATAGAAACATGAAATTAAATAAAAGATGTCTTTTGGTATGTTTTCGTTCTCCAACTGATATTTTTTGAGTTTCCTGTATATTGAAACTATAATCAATCATTATTGATTGAAAATCTATGAAATATTGAACCTAGGAATCTGTATGAAAATCTATAAAAGGTGACTTTTTGATATTGCAGATATATTGGACTGAATGAACTGAAACGAACTAGAACTAAACTAGAACTGAACTAGTACTGAACTAGAACTGAACTAGAACTGAACTAGAACTGAACTAGAATGAACTAGAACTGAACTAGAACTGAACTAGAACTGAACTAGAACTGAACTAGAACTGAACTAGAACTGAACTAGAACGAACTAGAACTGAACTAGAACTGAACTAGAACTGAACTAGAACTGAACAGAACTGAACTAGAACTGAACTAGAAAACTGAGAACTGAACTAAACTGAACTAGAACTGAACTAGAACTGAACTAGAACTGAACTAGAACTGAACTAGAACTGAACTAAACTGAACTAGAACTGAACTAGAACTGAACTAGAACTGAACTAGAACTGAACTAGAACTGAACTAGAACTGAACTAGAACTGAACTAGAACTGAACTAGAACTGAACTAGAACTGAACTAAACTGAACTAGAACTGAACTAGAACTGAACTAGAACTGAACTAGAACTGAACTAGAACTGAACTAGAACTGAACTAGAACTGAACTAGAACTGAACTAGAACTGAACTAGAACTGAACTAGAACTGAACTAGAACTGAACTAGAACTGAACTAGAACTGAACTAGAACTGAACTAGAACTGAACTAGAACTGAACTAGAACTGAACTAGAACTGAACTAGAACTGAACTAGAACTGAACTAGAACTGAACTAGAACTGAACTAGAACTGAACTAGAACTGAACTAGAACTGAACTAGAACTGAACTAGAACTGAACTAGAACTGAACTAGAACTGAACTAGAACTGAACTAGAACTGAACTAGAACTGAACTAGAACTGAACTAGAACTGAACTAGAACTGAACTAGAACTGAACTAGAACTGAACTAGAACTGAACTAGAACTGAACTAGAACTGACTAGAACTGAATAGAACTAGAACTGAACTAGAAATTGAACTAGAACTGAACTAGAACTGAACTAGACTGAACTAGAACTGAACTAGAACTGAACTAGAACTGAACTAGAACTGAACTAGAATGAACTAGAACTGAACTAGAACGAACTAGAACGAACTAGAAACTGAACTAACTGAACTAGAACTGAACTAGAACTGAACTAGAACTGAACTAGAACTGAACTAGAACTGAACTAGAACTGAACTAGAAACTGAACCTAGAACTGAACTAGAACTGAACTAGAACTGAACTAGAAACTAATCTAAAACTGAACTACATTGATTTCGAACTGAACAAACTATATCAGAACTTAAGCTAAACTGGACTACATTAACCGAAAACATTGCAAAATCTTTGTCACTAAAATTTTGCACAAACAATACTTTTGGATCTCAAATATCCTCATTTTGTCATTATTGAATTTTCCTCAAATAATTTTTAATTCCCCTATGCGAATGATGAATATTTGCTAATAAACATTAAGTATACGCCATGGTCATATGCAATCTCAATACTTACGTACATACAAAGCAATGAATTTGAAATGAAGTTTTAAGTTTTTAATATTTTAATTTATAAGTTGTATGTTACATGATTATGATTTATTATTATTTTATTAAAATGTTTTATGTTTTTATAAAATTAAAATCGATTCAATTAAAAAATAATATGTATGATAGATATGAACATATGTTTTGTTTTTTTTTATTATTAAAAGCTAAAGCAAAAACAATATTACTAAGAGTAGATGAAAGAGAAAGACGGGGATTAAGAGATAGTTTAATAGATAGAAAATAGAGAGGAAAAAGCTAAATATGAAGAAAATACAATGAACAATTAGTATAAATGAGAATAATGATGTATTTTTTATGCAAAAAAATTTAATTATTTATTTTTAAAAAAGAAACTACACAATAATTATTTGTTTTATATAGAGACAAAGACGTAAATGATGATAAGGGCTTTTTTGTTTTTTTTGTATGACAAAAATAAAATTGTAATTTTTTTATTTTAATTATCTATTAATGTTTATTTAAAAAAAAAGAAACAAAATGCTTCAATAATTTTGAAACCCAAAAAAATTAAGCAAAAAAGAAATTCTAAATTGTTTATATAAAAAAACCTTAATAATAAAACTAAAAACGATAATTTGGTTGGTGTTTGAAAACGCTTTTCGTGGCGTTTTTTGAAATTATTTTTAAAAAAACTGTTTTTATTTTTATGTTATGGTAGTGGTTGTTGTTCTTGTTGTTTTCTTGAAATATTTTATTAAATGTAACAAAACTGTGTGTGATTTTTTAGATGTTGTTGTAATTGATGTTTATTGTTTTTATTTTTTTTTTAAATTAATATTATTATAATTCTTAAATTTAAAAATTATTTGTTGTTCATTTTTTTTTGGTAGGTTTTGGTTCATTAAAATTAAATTAAAATACAATTGTTCTCATTATCAGGACTTCGGATGTTAGAAGTAGTGAACTATTATTGTGTAATGGATGTTTTAGAAAAATATATCAGAAATAGTTCGGGCAATAAAAACTTGATAAGAGTTTGTTTTTTTTAAAGAAGTGATAAAGCGATTCATCTCTTGTTTAAAGGTAAAAAATTAAATAAATTAGATTTATTCGGTGATCGTTCTTGTGGTTTCTTGAATGTAGACTTGGGAGCCGGGAACGGTGGAGGTGGTGACGAAAGTGCGGTGCTTGGCACGGATCATGTTCAAGTTGGTTTCAGCGCATTCGGCACGATCTTCAGCAGCTTCCAATTCACGTTGGAAACGGCGTACGCGGGTGACGGTGTGTTGAGACATGCCCTCCTAAGAAATTTATAAAGAACAAAACGATTAGTCCACATTTACCATTAGTTTTGGAGAGTTTTGGTTACTTACTTGTTCAGCCAATTGACGCTTGAAGAGATTGACCTTGGCAGTGGATTTGTCCAAAGCTTCTTGCAACAAAATAATGTTCTTTTGATCTTCTTCGCATTGTACCATGACTTCCTTGACGGTGCGTTCCTTCTTTCTCAAGATCTTGATGGTTTCGGCGTGTCTTCTCTTTTCTTCTTCCAATTCAAGTTCCAAATCACGAACACGGGCTTCCAATTTGCTGATGATACGTTTGCTACCAGCAACGGCATTCAATTCAACTTCTTCCAAGCGAATGGACAAGTTCTAAAGCATAAAACGAAATTCGATTAAAATTCCTATAATTTATTTCGTTATATTTTTTTTAAATTACCTTGACTTCGACTTCCAAGGACTTCTTGATGGTTTCCAATTTGACAATGCGTTCTTGTTCTTCATGGACTTGTTCAATGGTGTGTTTAAGTTCAACCTAAGGAAAACAAACCCCAACATTTTATTAATTCTTAACTCTTTTCAATCATTCACCTCCCTCTCCCTTTCAAAACTACTTACTTGAACCTTTTGGTAACGTTCGTCACTGATGCGCAATTCCTTGGTGACTTCTTCGTAATCGGCAGCAACAACAGACAATTCTTGTTCCAATTTCGATTTGATCGATACCAAGTTAATGTTGGTGGTGTGCAATTCATTGATGCGGGTTGGGCTTCTTCGAATTGCAATTCAACGGTACGCTTAGCACGTTGAGCGCTGTCCAATTGAGAGCGTACTTCTTCCAATTCACCGTTCAAACCGGCCAAACGACGTTGAGCAACACCGTATTGATCCAAGGTGGATTGCAATTGACGTTGAACGTCTTCGTAGTGGGCTTGCAATTCGGTCAATTGCAAGGATTGTTTCTTAATAACCTTTTGCAAATCAATGTTGGTTTTGTTGGCAACATCCAAGGACATTTCCAATTCGGTGATTTGGATTTGCAACTTCTTCTTGATGCGTTGGACTTCGGTCTTCAAGCGGGTTTCGGCTTCAATAACGCGAGCGTTCAATTGTTCGATTTCGATGGAAGTTTGTTTGCTAGAGACAGAGAGAAGATAATGGGAGATTAGTTGAAGTTTTATGGAAGAAGTTTGATTATACTTAAGTAGAAAAAGAATTGATTTTTATTTTTTTTTTTGTAAATTTTAATAAATTACCTGAGGTTTTCCAAGATTTTAAACATTTTGAGTTCTTTCTTTAATACAATTTCTCTTTTTTGCAAATTTTTACTAAAACAGAACTAGAACTTAACTAGAACTGAACTAGAACTGAACTAGAACTGAACTAGAACTGAACTAGAACTGAACTAGAACTGAACTAGAACTGAACTAGAACTGAACTAGAACTGAACTAGAACTGAACTAGAACTGAACTAGAACTGAACTAGAACTGAACTAGAACTGAACTAGAACTGAACTAGAACTGAACTAGAACTGAACTAGAACTGAACTAGAACTGAACTAGAACTGAACTAGAACTGAACTAGAACTGAACTAGAACTGAACTAGAACTGAACTAGAACTGAACTAGAACTGAACTAGAACTGAACTAGAACTGAACTAGAACTGAACTAGAAACTGAACTAGAAACTGAAACTAGAACTGAACTAGAACTGAACTAGAACTGACTAGAACTGAACTAGAACTGAACTAGAACTGAACTAGAACTGAACTAGAACTGACTAGAACTGAACTAGAACCTGAACTAGAACTGAACTAGAACATGAACTGAGACACTGAACTAGAACTAGAACTAAGACTAGAAACTTGAACTAGAACGAATAGAACTGAAGAACTGACACTAGACTGACTAGAACTGAACTAGAACTGAACTAGAAACTAGAATGAACTAGAACTGAAACTAGAACTGAACTTAGAACTGAACTAGGAACTGAACTAGAACTGAACTAGAACTGAACTAGACTGAACTAGAACCTGAACTAGAACTGGAACTAGAACTGAACCTAGAACTGCAACTAGAATCTGAACTAGAACTGAACCTAGAACTGACTAGAACTGAAACTGATACTGAAACTAGAACTGAACTAGAACTGAACTAGAACTGAACTAGAACTGAACTCGAACTAGAACTAGACTAGAAACTAGAACTAGAACTGAAATAGAACTGAACTAGAACTGAACTAGAACTGAACTAGAATGACTAGAACTGAACTAGAACTGAACTAGAACTGAACTAGAACTGAACTAGAACTGAACTAGAACTGAACTAGAACTGAACTAGAACTGAACTAGAACTGAACTAGAACTGAACTAGAACTGAACTAGAACTGAACTAGAACTGAACTAGAACTGAACTAGAACTGAACTAGAACTGAACTAGAACTGAACTAGAACTGAACTAGAACTGAACTAGAACTGAACTAGAACTGAACTAGAACTGAACTAGAACTGAACTAGAACTGAACTAGAACTGAACTAGAACTGAACTAGAACTGAACTAGAACTGAACTAGAACTGAACTAGAACTGAACTAGAACTGAACTAGAACTGAACTAGAACTGAACTAGAACTGAACTAGAACTGAACTAGAACTGAACTAGAACTGAACTAGAACTGAACTAGAACTGAACTAGAACTGAACTAGAACTGAACTAGAACTGAACTAGAACTGAACTAGAACTGAACTAGAACTGAACTAGAACTGAAACTAGAACTGAACTAGAACTGAACTAGAACTGAACTAGAACTGAACTAGAACTGAACTAGAAACTGAACTAGAACTGAACTAGAACTGACTTAGAACTGAAACTATAAACTGAACTAGAACTGACTAGAACTGGAAACTAGAACTGAACTAGAACTGAACTAGAACTGAACTAGAACTGAACTAGAACTGAACTAGAACCTGAGAACTAGAACTGAACTAGAACCTGAACTAGAACTGAACTAGAACGAACTAGAACTGAACTAGAACTGAACTAAGAACTGAACTAGAACTGAACTAGGAACTGAACTAGAACTGAACTAGAACTGAACACTAGAACTGAACTAGAACTGACTAGAACTGAACCTAGAACTGAACTAGAACTGAACTAGAACTGAACTAGAACTAAACTAGAACTGCAAACTAGAACTGAACTAAGAATGAACTAGAAATTAATTTATATTGAATCTCTAAATTGATCCATAACTTAAACTCCAGGGAGGGTCGAACTCTTCTTAAATAAGCGCCTTTAAAAAGAGCTTTTAGAACTTTCAAATAATTTATCATTATCATATCTGAAACTGTAAATACTTTTTAAAAAGAAAAGTTAAAATTTATTTAATTTAGAAATAATGTTAAAATGTTTTGGGGTTTTTAGAAGAAAATTCTTTGGACTTTGTGCAAACATCTCAACTATGTAGATCAATCACTTGATCTTTTTCTTTTTTTTATAAAATTAACAAAATTTTTTTTATAAATAAATTTGTTACAAAGATCAAATCAAAGTGATTTTCAAATATTTACGAAATAAATTCTATGCTAAAGTCTAAACATCAAACATTTAAGAAAATTTGTAAAAAAACGAAATATTTAACACAATTACAAAGTAAAGTCAAGTCAAGTGACATGAACTTGTCACAATTTAACATAAATAAACGAATAAATCAATTGATCTCTGATTGTCAAAGCAAATATAATTAGCTAATGATTAACAGATTTTAAAAAAAAGAGAAAAAACGAAATAAATAAATTGTCAATTACAATTAACAATAACAACTAAACTAAAATGTTGAATGAGTCATGACATGAAAAAATGTTTAAATATTTCAAAAGTATATGTATGTCAACAATGACTAATTGCTGATCTTTATAAACTATTGTTTTCTTAAGATTTCTTGAAATTTTAAATTTCTTTTGGTATATTGTTCAATTTAGTTGTTCTTTTTGTACTTTAATTATCATTAAACTTTTTTTGTGTATAAAAGGTATTTGATATATTCAGGTTATAAGAATTTATAGCTAATTTTAGCTGCAACCAAAAAAATGCTTGTACTAAATTTAATATCATGTACTAAACAAAAATGTTGCTGCTCTATACTCTAAACTTTTTACTTAGTATCACTTCTAGTACACATTTGCATAATATTTCGAAATTATTTCATTTTTTCAAAATACATTTTCTGTTTGTCGTTGTTGTAGTTGTTGTGTGTTTTTAAAAATTACTTAATCTGGCTATGCCAGCAGCAGCAGCAACAGCCACAAAACTTGGCAACAATTTTGAAATTTTTAAAAATATAAAGCAAATTTATGGGTACTTTTCTGTTATTTGTAGGAGTACACAACAAAAGTGCTGTTGTTAGTTTTTTTCCTCATATATTTACGCAAAAATATCTATGCTGTCTGTCTGTCATATCAAACGGATTTCTCTCATGATGTCTTTTAATATTTTTGTTTTTTTTTTTGATGATTTCAAGAAAACAGATTATTTTACTTGAAAAAACATTCAATTGTTTTAAATATTATATGCTTTAAACAAATATTTCAGTTTTTTTTTTTTTGAAGGACATTATCAAAACAATGATTTCAATTATTTTTGTTACAAAGAAATCTTAAACATATTTTAAATTCCCAAAATTGCATTGAAACATTTTAGCATGCGCATAAAAAATTTGATAAATTTTATTTTGGTATTCAAATTTATCATTGTCATACTGCTAGACTTTTTCATTATAACGCTCTATTAATTGTATTAATTAATTTTTTTTTACTTAAAAACAGATGTTCTTAAGTAAGAAAATGTAAAATTAAACGAAATTTAGATTTAAATAATAGAACTGAAGTAGAACTGAGCTAGAACTGAACTAGAACTGAACTAGAACTGAACTAGAACTGAACTAGAACTGAACTAGAACTGAACTAGAACTGAACTAGAACTGAACTAGAACTGAACTAGAACTGAACTAGAACTGAACTAGAACTGAACTAGAACTGAACTAGAACTGAACTAGAACTGAACGAACTGAACTAGAACTGAACTAGAACTGAACTAGAACTGAACTAGAACTGAACTAGAACTGAACTAGAACTGAACTAGAACTGAACTAGAACTGAACTAGAACTGAACTAGAACTGAACTAGAACTGAACTAGAACTGAACTAGAACTGAACTAGAACTGAACTAGAACTGAAAAAGAACTGAACTAGAACTGAACTAGAACTGAACTAGAACTGAACTAGAACTGAACTAGAACTGAACTAGAACTGAACTAGAACTGAACTAGAACTGAACTAGAACTGAACTAGAACTGAACTAGAACTGAACTAGAACTGAACTAGAACGAACTAGAACTGAACTAGAACTGAACTAGAACTGAACTAGAACTGAACTCGAACTGAACTAGAACTGAACTAGAACTGAACTAGAATGAACTAGACTGAACTAGAACTGAACTAGACTGAACTAGAAACTAGAACTGAACTAGAACTGAACTAGAACTGAACTAGAACTGAACTACTAGAACTGCGAACTAGAACTGAACTAGAACTGAAACTAGAACTGAACTAGAACTGAACTAGAACTGAACTAGAACTGAACTAGAAACTGAACTAGAACTGACTAGAACTGAACTAGAACTGACTAGAACTGAACTATGAACTGAAACTAGAACTGAACTAGAACTGACTAGAAGCTGAACTAGAACTGAACTTAGAACTGAACTAGAACTGAACTAGAACTGAACTAGAACTGAACTAGAACTGAACTAGAACTGAACTAGAACTGAACTAGAACTGACCTAGAACTGAACTAGACTGAACTAGAACTGAATAGAACTGAACTAGACTGAACTAGAACTGAACTAGAACTGAACTAGAACTGAACTAGAACTGAACTAGAACTGACTAGAACTGAACTAGAACTGAACTAGAACTGAACTAGAACTGAACTAAGAACTGAACTAGAACTGAACTAGAACTGAACTAGAACTGAAACTAGTAACTGAACTAGAACTGAACTAGAACTGAACTAGAACTGACTAGAACTGAACTAGAACTGAACTAGAACTGAACTAGAACTGAACTAGAACTGAACTAGA